ACGTATGAAGGCTGCTCCAAAAGTAATGCCTCCTATTTTATGTTGGTTGTATGGCAGTAGAAGTCAAACGTTCTCACCAGTATTTGTTGCTGCATGACGGACAACAGCAGAAGAGCAGTCTGACAGAATAGTGTCTGTCGTGAAAATGCATATGAAGAAAAGGTATGGAAATGTGTTTCTTCTCCATGCAGAAAAAATTACATCCACTCACACTCATCGGTGCTTGCTGAACAGTTATGGAGACCAAACAGTGAATGTAACCACAGTGGGTGGTGAGGTGGTGTGTTTCAGCAGCGGTTATGGCAAAATGAAAGACCAGTCACATCGCAGATGGCCGTGCAGATAATTTTAAAAGTGCAGCATGCAGGCTCTTGCTCATCACTTGTGAAAATACATAGCTAGTAGTGGTGACTATGTTAAAAAATAACATTTTGTAGTTCAGAATTTGCTCCTTCAAATAATGTTATTGTGCTCTTTGTATCTATTGCAGTTTCCACAGAAATAAATAGGAGACACTGCTTTCAGAGTGACAAATGTAAATGATTAAGAAAATTAATTTCAGTCTTATATCAAAGGAAACAGAAGTCTTTTCTGGCAGTATTTAGCTAGAATAAGTTAAAAGTGTCTGAGTTTAACCTAATGTTCCTTGTCAGGAAGCCAGATTGGATTCCACAACTGTGTTCTTGCAGATAGGTTTCTGCAACATGACTTGATGTACTAGAGTCAATATTTGTTTCAAAGTCCAAAGACCACCTGTTCTGTAAACATCTATGAACCTCCACTGCAAAAAAACTCTTGGGTGAGGACTAATTGAATGCATCAGTTTATTCCCTAAACTACTGAGGAAGTAGTAATGGTTTACATATATACACTAATAATGTCACGAGACATGTAAATGCAGAAGGTTGTACAGATGCCAAGCTGCTAGAAGACTGCTGTGTTTCCCTAGCCAAATTGTTTTTGAGATACAGATCTATGACCGCAGTGGGGTTTAGTCTGGACAGGTGATTAGCCATGTCATTAACAACAGGGAGTCCTAACTATTTACTCAGAAAGGAACTATAGTTTTGTGCATATCTGATGTATGATCACACCCCATGCAAACCAAAATTAAGGGTTGTGCTCTGTTTCCTGTCAGATGACAGCCACCCAAACCAAACAACTGACCGTGACAACTGGAAAAAACATTCAGGTAAAATACATAGATGGCTTTCTGTAAGGTTAAAGGGAGACCATTTATAATTGAACATTTTTTCATTCCTGTCCTAGGCATAATTTCAACAACTAATGGGTTAATTTATTAAATTTAACAGAAAGAAAACAGAAAATAAGGTACTATTAAATTCCGCCTTGTGGCACTGCTCTGAGGAAATAACACTCCCAATGAAAATAGAATCAAGGCCTCATTTAACTTTAATGAAAGCAGAATTTAGTCATCAAGGTACCTTCAGTTATTTCCTAAGGATCACATCAAAGTTGTTGCTTCATGGCCTTGGCACATATTACATAGGTCACTCTGAAAGCAATGTCTCCTATTTATTTCCACGGAAATCAGAACAGATACGAAGAGCACAATAACACGATTTGAGAGAGCAAATTCTCAGCTACAAAATACTATTTTCTAACATAGTCACCACCATTAGCCAGTCATTTTTGCTAGGGATGAACAAGAGCCTTCATGCCACACGTGAAAATCTGCACCAGTGTAGGCGGCCCACTGTCACCGCTGCTGAAACACACCACCCACTGCCTCGCCATGCTCACATCCACTGTTTGGTCTTCAGAAACATTCAGCATGTGCCAATGAATGTCAGTGTTCCATTTTTTATGCATGGAACAATTCAATGACACATCTTTGCTTCATATGTCTTTCCATGTCAGACGTCATTTTGTCAGATTGGCCTTCTACTGCCATCTGTTACATGGCAACAACATGGAATGGAATATTGGTGGGAAAGTTCAACCTCTGCTGTCATACCACCAATATCCATCTTTGATGTTGTGGGCCAACATAATATAAGAGGAGGCACTACTTTTGGAGCAGACCCTATAGTAATCCATAGTCACCCATATGTGCACCGTGTATGGAATCACAGAATCATAAAATCATTTTATGTTAATTTTGCAAGACTGAAAATGACAGCATGATGCTGTGAGTTTCAGATTCTGGCTTCCATCGTTATCTGAAGAAAACAAGATACAAAATATATCCCACAATTTTGTTAGCCATTGTGCCTATCAATTTCTTTTCAGAAACACTCCTATCATCATTGCTGTAGAGCTCAAACAAACTACCAATGCTCTGAGATGTGCATGCAACTGCTGAATACATAACCTCATTGGCCACGTCTTTCAGAACCCCTCTCAGCCTGACCTGGTCACCAGAATTGGTTCAGCTAGGTTGCCATTCAAGTACTATTTTCACACACTTGAGCTGGGCAAATATATTAGCGAACAACAAACATCATTATCTTTCATCAATGTCTGATAGATTTCACCGCACCTCATCATTTAGCAGTTGCAAATAAACAAGTCCTAAATAAAACACAGCCAAAACATTCTTAGATGTCTGCCTAACCAGAGGATGCTAGATAATGGATGAAGGGCATGTAGCATCAATCAAGACGGAGGCATAAATGGTACTAGACAAAAATACAGACAGTAACTGGGGCAGACAAAAATTTCCATGGATTCCTATTCATAGATGGAATATAGAATGGAAAAATTCAGTACCATCAAAAAGATTGTCAGGCTTATAGACATAATTGCCATATCATTTATTTTGCTGCTCAGTGTTTTACAAACCCTCTGCCCTGAAATTAAGACTCAGGATTTTTTTTTTTTCAGTATATGTCAGATTTCTAAATAAAAAACCAATGATGTTTCACAGTGTGCTATTGACATTTTAAATCGTGTTCCAGAAAGACTGGCTTGATTTTTTTATTAGTTTTGAAATACATTATGGCGATGAAACTCTGGGGAAGAGCAGCAAAAGCTCACAGGATCCACAGGGTGAGATCAGCCGCTTCCCCCCATGATTTCTTTTGTTTTCCAAAAATTAATAAAATTATGAGGCTAAAAATTATTTCATAGCCATCTAAAAAGAAAAAGTGTAGGAGACCTCTGCAAATGTCTTTTTTTATATTCACATAGATGTAATTATATGCATAAACATTTTTTTTCTATAGCATGAGGAATTTTTTCCTATGTTTTCATTTCTAAACAAGTGTTTTGACATCACGAGCTGCTTGAAAGCACCTAATCATGAACACATGTTGAAATGACATGTATGAGTTGCAGGTGTTTAGAATAATTAGACACTAAATTACAGTTATGCTGGGTGCTCAACAGAGTCATGTTCTCCATGCCATTGTTTTTGCAACTGAATGCTTATCATGAATGAATGAATGAATGAAGTGCAAATAATAGCCTTTCAGAAAGGAAAGTTTTATAAGACAAATGTAGAATTATCAAAGTTGAAAAGTATAAAAACAGAAAAAAGATAATCTTTTATTGATCCTCTCAAAATGATTGGTTATAGAAATGTATGTATGCACTGGTTTCTTACTCTGTATGTTCTCTGTGACTGACAGTCCAGTCACTCGCTACTGGAAAATACAGTAGAATCACCAAAGAACGCTGAGACTGTCCAGACGCTCCTTCAAGACGTGTAATAATTTTATCTTTCTGTACAAGTGAATATTTAACCTTCTGCCAAATGGTACTAAGCCTGCCTGAAAAGTGGGACTTGTGAGGTGACCCTTAACAATAGGAATGTTTTTAATGAAGAAAAATGTCAGGATTAAGAATGTCATACCTTTTCTGCCGTAGTGGAAATGCTAAGTCATAGCCTGAAGCAGTGATGGAGCACCTGGTGGGAAGGCAGGGCCAACCCAGAGGAGCTCAGGTGCACTCAATGCTGCTGAGTGACCAGAAGGGCTGGAGCCGGGATCCACCTCTTACAGACCTCATTTAAGGGTTGGCAGTGAAGACAAAGAGATTTTGTTGGGGGTTGATGCCTGCTTGAGGCCTTTTGAAGGTGAGTGAAGTCTTTGTTTTGTTTTTGTGTGGTGTCCGTGGCTGCTGCGTTGGAGGATATCCTCATCTGTTGTGGGTCTTTGCTACTATAGTTTTCATTGTGTTACAGTGTTATACCTGCTGTACCATAATGTACCAGAAGTAATAAAACAAACAGAAACAAACCTGGATATGACCTAGAATCGATGTTCATGATATAGGTTAAGGCTACAAATTCGAGGGCTAAGAGTGTTTATTTGCCATTTTTGTTAGTGGAGTACTCAGCTTATGCTCATCACGAAATGGAGTTACTCCATGTAACTCATGTTAGATCTTCTCAAGAAAGTAAACTTGTTTTATTTATGTAAAGGGTAACTAAAGCCCTAAGGGTAAGAGAAGGGCAAAGAAAGCAGCAACTCTCTTTAACTTCCCAAATACTACCTTACATGGGTAGGCATAATGTTAAAAAAGTGCAAGAACTCTTCTTTGGTGTATCTCCTCTTTCTTCTACTCTAATATTTTTGCATCCCTTCACTTTTTTCCCCTTCCAGTTTTTACTACTAATGAGTTTGTATTGGGGTACTTAATTTCCTAAGTTCATACCAGTCATTAATTCTGTCTCCTAGGCACAAGGTACTTTCTTTTGAAAATATTGAAGTAGCACCCACCATAAATCACTTACTCAAAGGTGTTTTTTTTTTTTTTTTTTTTTTTTTTTTTTTTTTTTTTTTTTTTTTTATCTCCTGGAATCATAGCTTGTAAGAAAACACTATGCCTGTAATTCATCTCTTAATTTACCATTTCAGATTGCTGTGAATGCCTTATCATTCCAGTAGCAATGGTCAGAGCATGAGTTATTGAGAGGTGTTGGGTGATCCGTTCTATTTCATCATCTCTCTTTATCTTCAGTAGCACAAAGTATGTTTCTGGGGTTCTGTAAATCTTTAGAAGCAAGGTCACAAAAGAGATTGCAGTGTGTAATTATTTTGAAGACACATGCACAGATTCCCACACAAACGGCATGAATGTTTTACTAGGACTGAAGTGGGAGCTCTGCTGGTAACTTCAGTAAGTACAGACCTGCTCTCCACAGAAAATAAATATTCTTGAGACAGAATGAAACTAGAATAAAAAAATGAATTTACAGAATTCATGAATTCAGAATACGGAATTCACGAGTATTTGAGCCTATTCAAAACCTGAAGGGTTTTTGCTGTTCCCAAAATTGAATATTGATAAATATGAGGTAACTAATTATCTTCCCATGCAGAGCAAAATATAGACTAGCAAATAATGGGAAACAATACTACACTGTAGGTGAAGAGTCAGAGCAAATATATAAGAATATACGGGTATGTTTGTAGTCTCCTGTTGATTTTCTTTGTTTGTTTATTTGTTTTTTTAACCAAGTAAAGCTTGGATAAATTCTGAAACAAATGTGTATATTGTGAAAATATGTTGAGTTTCACAGACAAAAAAAATCCTTAAAAATGCACATAGGAAGGGTAGAGGGAATATGTGTTTAAGTTATCAATGGCCGAGGTCTGAAAAATGGTAAAAATTTCTTCCTAACCTTATTAAGAGATCAGTGTCTATATAAACACATTCTATTAACAGGGTAGAAGAGAAATTACTTACTATAGTATTTTTGCTAAGACACCCACCTGCATAGTTGTAAAGTACTGTAACATGATAACTCAAGCCCAAGAGAGAAAAATAATAATGGTGTGCTATTTCTATATGCTCTGCATATATGCATACATATGATTACTGAAAAATGTTGAAGAGCAGCTGCCTCAGAACTTAACAGCAATCCCAGCTCCAGAAATTTTCAGCTGTCAGTGCCTAAGGGTAGCTTTTCAGTGCAGCTAGGTTTACAATGAAACAAACAACAAATCCTGTCTCCAGGGTTACAATTATCAGTTAAGTAAATAGCACTTTTTAAACTTATCTTCTAAATACATCAGTGGCAAAACCAAAATTGCTCAAGATAACAATGAACCAAATACAGGTGTGTCTGCATGTAGCCAGTCATTTCTAGAAGAAAGTCGAGTCAGGAGGTGGGGTAGAAATGAAGAGGAATGATTGGAGAAGCCCAACACACTCCCAGGAATGCGACTTGAAACTGAGCAAAGGGGAGCTGCAGTGCCTTGCTGCTGCTATGGCAATCATTTATTGGAATGTTCTCTCCCTCTCTCACCCTCCTCAGTGTAATGGATTTTCTTTCTTCTGCAGTATCTTTCCCTACAAGTAGTTTGAATCAACTGTGTTGAGCGTGTTGCGAGTTCAACGAGTAAGAGATGAGTTCTCAGAGGTAGAACTCATGCTTACACTGGTGGAGATCAGTCCTCTTACTAATCATTTCAGAAATTTCAGGGAGAACAAAGAGGGTTACTTTCTTCCTGCCCCCCCTCCCGGTCGCCGCCCCCCCCCCGGAGAGGGGGGGAAAAAAGAAAATTGGTAAAAAACAGCTTAAAAAAAAAAAAAAAAAAAGGCAGACCAAGTTCATCTTCATTTAGCTTATGCAAGACCACACTTAAATTGCATACAAACCAGTAAAAAAATCATTTATTTTGTCAAAATGAAAAAAAAAGACAAAACCATTTTGCTGGGCTCTAACACCAATGGGTTGAACATCAAACTAAAGCAAGATATTTTTCACAATATTACTTAACCAAGGTTAAATGGAAAAGAAGTCATAACAGTATTTCCTCTTAATAGACCCAAGAATGACTCCACACAAGAAGTGACAGACTCTCCTTGGTGAGTTTGTTAAGACTCTTAAAACTTCTTAATAGCCTTTAGAGAGGTTACAATAATTCAGTTAAGTTTATTAATGATAATCCTAACTACTCTATATTTATCCTAAGTCATACTCAAGCTTCGCATCGGTTTTAAAATATTGTTGAAATGTTAAAATATACCAGGTGCAGAATGTTTGGAAGGAAGGGTTTTGACTTCTTATTGTAGTATATCTTTGTGTGTCAATACAGAAATGTCAATGCAACCTCTTAATAAATAACAGCTTGCTTAAGGCTGACAAGAAACCGATGGTTAGCCTTTTCTACTTGTAACATCAATGCTTCCCTGATGCTTTACTTTCAAGTAATAATACAACCATGCTTGGTATTAATAATAAATTGGTTTTGTTTTTCTTAAACTCACCTTCAGTTAACTCACGTTCAAACAGACAAATTTAATTAATTTTCAGCAAATGAGTTTGATTTAACAAATTAATGGTCTCAAATGGTTCCCAAAACAGCGATTGGCTTTGGGTGCCCTACATCTGAAGATAAAATGGAAGCACTCAGCATCTCCACAATGGACATAATTTTTCATGACGTAGCATCTTTTACAGTAACTTCAACAAAAACTTGGTATAAACCCCAACAATTTATATTTTGTAAGTTTTATAAATAAGATTTGTGTTATACACTGACATTAGTTTATGGTTATAATGACCAAGGTGCGAGCTCCCAAATCCTGTGCATCAGAGTCCCCTGCTCCTCATCAAGTCTCCTGTGCTGTGACAACTGAATGATATTTTTCCTCTGTCTTGACCTTCTTCCACCACTGTTAGCCCATAGTATCTATATAAATGTTTATGGTAGTCTAGTTTTTACCTTCCTCTGAATTGAAATACATAAGCATAAAAAAAAAGACTTACAGTGTTTATAATGGTTATGCCAGAAACCAATTAAATCTAATAAATAAAAATCAAACAATATGGTAAGGTATTTTAAAATGCACTTTGGTCCTTATCAGCAAAAAGCAAGATTAGACTCTTTTCTAGCTGTAGCTGCTATATCACACTGCTTTTTAACTAAGCTAAAAACAGGAACAAATTCGAAGAAGGAAAGCAAATAATAGCTGGCTTCAAATAGAAGTAAACTGTCTTAGCAAAGTTCAGAAGAAATCAGTTTTACATTTTATCTGGACAAATTCATCCAACTCTCGCTGCCATTAGGAAGTTGCTGTGTAAAGCTTTTGGATAGAGAAGGATGTTTCTTTATACTGTGAAAGAGAATCACCACTATTAGAGACTGCATACTTAATAAAATCTACTGTCTTAAATGATAACATAGAAATGTGCTTGCTGCACCATGTATTTCTCTTCCTAGGAGAAAAGCTTCTCACATTACCAGGCTGAGTTTCCCTCTTTGTGAACCCACTGGTAATTAAACTATTCATTTTGTCCTATTTTGGGCTTCATATCTGTTTTCATCCTTATGTTCCAGTGTTGTTGGAATGAGAACAGCTGTGATTGGACACATTACTATCAGCACGTTCTCTGGAGGGTCTGTACTTGGGGTCTTATAACAGCCTAAGTAAGTCTGCTCCTGTTCTGAAGAAAAGAAATATTGCAAATCCATATATTTTCTGTCAGTATTTATTATACATAATATAATATATTATTTATTACAGTATTTATTTTTAATATTTTCAGCAACGTGTCCTATTATCTACTTCTGAATTCCATCTTCTCCATTTCATAGAAGTGTTTTTAGTGAAAAAGCAAACATAAACTCCCGTTAGATAATTACACTTTGGGTTTTTTAGAAAGTATGGGTTAAACTGTCACATCACCTGTAGTAATGATGAAATACTACCTTTTTCCTTGTTCTGCACCTGTTCCACAATGAAGTTTAGCAGGAAAGGTAATGATTTTAAGCTGCCTTAATTTACTTCCACACTTAGACACCTAAGCAGAAGTCATCTTTTTTGTGAACAGCAGTAACATTTCCAAATTTCCTACAGCGCTGACACATTTACCCTCTGGTCCCATATTTAAGACGAGAATTATTGTGAAGCAAGGAGAGGCAAACTGGGCATATCAAATTATGAAGAACTGGAATTCCTTTAAATGACCTTTGAATATCTTATATCTTTGTGTAACACCAAAGAATAGGTAAGCTAGAATCTGCCAGAGAATTTTTGACAGTTGCTGAAGGAGTTTTCTGCTAAAAGTTTCCATTTGAAAACTCGAGTTTGGGTTTTTAGGGAGGGAATGAGAAACAGCAACTGAAAAATCACAAGGAAAAAGTTAAAAAGAGCTGAAACAAAACGAGAGATGGTTTGTAACTGACAACTTTTTTTTTTTTTTTTTTTTTTTTTTTTTTTTTTTTAGGGCGCACTCTAGTGGACACACAACAAACTGGAATGAGGATACAAATGTTATGGAAGAATAGATAATGAAAGCCACTGGTTGGAATTAGTGATTAGACTTATTTATTAGCATGTTTAAAGTTGTCTTAAGTACTTAGGCAATATGTTTAAGTTATATATGAAGGCTGAAGTTTCCATAGAAAACATAATAAAAGGACTGAAATAAAAACACTGGCTCAAATGAAAACCTTCATCTGTTCATCCAGCCAGTCCATTCAAGGCTGGCACAAGAAGTTGCTGTGTATACATCATTAATATATTTTAATTAGATTAATAATGATATTTAGTAGAGATGATCAACACAGTGCAAATTCAGTAATTTTAAGATCTGACTAACCAAAATGAATATACTGACTCCTGCAGCTCACCTATTATCACGCAGTAATCAGTAAAGATTTTAAATTGTAGAGCAAACAATTAGTGTCATTAAAAAGTACCTCATGATTTCTGACAGACTGACTTCTTTTAGTACATGTTTCTACTAAGTCCTTCCAGTACTTGAAGGGAGCGTTTAAACAGGAGAGGGTATGACTGTTTGTGAGGGTGGATAGTGATATGACAAGGGGGAATAGTTTTAAACTGAGACAGGGGAGGTTTAGGTTTGATTTTCAGAGGAAGTTTTTCACATAGAGGGTGGTGAGGCACTGGAACAGGTTGCCCAAGGATGCTGTGGATGCCCCATCCCTGGAGGCATTCAAGGCCAGGCTGGATGTGGCTCTGGGCAGCCTGGTCTGCTGGTTGGTGACCCTGCACATAGCAGGGGGTTGGAACCAGATGATCATTGTGGTCCTTTTCAACCCAGGCTGTTCTGTGCTTCTATGAAGTCACAGAAAGTTACTTCTTAATGGCATAAATACTCTGATTAAATTTTGCATTTAGTTCCATGTACGAAACTTGCTTCACCTCCTGATACACACAGCGTTCCTTCTTAATATCAGAAACCTTACAAATTCGTGTCAAGTCTTTTCAATTTTTTTTTTTACTGTATATTCAAATGATGATATTGTAGCCCCTACTCCAAAATGATGTTGATACACAAAATCTGTATTTGTATTAATTTTATTTTACACTTCAAGAATCAACAGGTAATCAGTGAAAAATGTATTTATTTCTTTTATCTCAGTTCCAGTTTCCTTTCTCCAAGTCAGCTGTGCCAGCTACTGTAGTTTAAGAACAGAGAAGAAGCATAGCATGCCAAAATTAACAGGCTTTATAGGAGCACCCAGAAAGCCAAGAAACCAAAACAACAGGTATGTGTATAATCAGTTTTCTATACAAAGTACACTAATTAAGGCATAGCCCTTCAGGGCTAGCTAGTAACGAGTAGAAATAGTTTTTACTGCTTTCAGATCAGATGGAACTTTCTTGTTCAAACTCTGGCATTAAATCAGTTGCAATCTAAAGACAAAAACAAATATATCAGTTGTAAGCATTAACATTGTAAGCATGAACATTGTACAAAGAAGGAACAAATGTATAATACAGACTAGTCTTCATTCATAAATAGAAATGTGCATTCTTCCATTCAGTTAAATACGATGAAGCTTTATCACTAGTCTGATTCTCAGATTCAGTAAGTTTGGATGATGTGTTAGATCTCCGAGAACAGACTAGTCTCAATGCTAAAGGTGAACGTAGTTTCATTTCATTGATCTATTCTCAATTCATATTTTAATACAAAAATTGTAGCACTGCAAAACCTGCAGTGACATCACCAACAGATTTATGTAATCCAACTTTAGACAACTTGGGGCATGAAAACTTCATGGATGATGCAGAAGACGTGTGACAAGAGAAGGTCATCTGAGCCAACGTGACTTCAGCAAGGGCAGATTGTGCCTCACCCATCTGGTGGCCTTCTATGATCAGTGGATAAAGGAAAGGTGGTAGAGATTCATGCACCTAAACTGCTGCAAGGCCTTTGTTACGGTCCTGCATCACATTCCTGCCTCTAAATGGGAAAGGTATGGTTTGGATGAGTGGACTGTTCAGTGGATAAGCAATTGGTCGGGTGGTCATTGGCAGAGGGTGGTCTCTGTCCAGGTGGAGGCCCCTCAGAGGTCCATCTTGGGACCAGCACTCCTCATCATTATCAATGACCAGGACGGCACTATCCAGTGCACTCTCTGCAAATCAGCAGGTGACGCTAAGCTGAGTGGTGCATTGATGGAACATAAGTAAGGGATGCCATCCAGAGGGATCTGGACAAGTGTGAGAAGCGGGCCAACATGTACCTAATGAGGTTCAATAAAGCCAGAGTAGGGGCAATCTTGGGTAGAACTGACTGAGAGCTACCCTGGGGAGAAGGACTTGGGGGTTCTGGTGGATGAAAAGCTTGATGCAGTCAGCAGTGTGTGTTTGCAGCTCAGAAGGCCAAGTGCATAGTGGGCTGCATCAAAAGAGGAGTGATCACCAGAGTGAGTGAGGTGATAGTTCCTTTCTGCTCCACCCTTATGGGCCCCATCTGGGGTCCTGCATCTGTGGCAGAGTTGCTGAAACTAGATGGCTTTTAAGGTCCCTTCCCTTAATGGGAACCCATTTTATGGTTCTTTGATTCATTTGCACTTCTGATTTTGCAATTCATTTATTTAAGGACACAAAATAGTCCTGAAGCCTCACGTACAGTTTTTAATATTCAGTTGCCAGAAAACTATAAAAAATAGGGCTAGGTGGGACTTAAAGGTCCCATCACATTTACCTCTTAGCAAAATCAAAATAATTGTGAAAACTTGATCCTAGGTATAGTCATAAATATATTCACAAATGTTTTTGAAGAACCTTTATAAAACAAGTTGTTAATAAAGCAACCTTATGCTTAAAGCACGTTAATACCACATTTAAGTTCTGAGTTGGAATGAAACTGATAATGTCAGAAAACAAGTGAGCAGATGGCTAAGGTTAATAAAGGAAAAAGGGTTCAGATGTAGTATTAAAACCAATCCAGCAAAATTCCAATTCACACTATCGAGACTGTAGCTGAAAAAAGATAGATGCATCAATATTTATCTCCAGTGATGTGCATAAAAGGCATCATCTGTTAAACGTACTGCCATGTTTACAGTCAGTGGTGGTTGATTTATACCCTCTCATGTACTAGCATTATCAAGCACAAAGTGGTTAAAAAAAATAAATAAGGTGTAGAAGATGCTTGCATATCACAATTTAGATTCTTAGTTGCAGTGCTGTGCAGAGTAAGTACTGTTACGCTGGCACGGGGCTCAGATAACATGATTCTTAGCAGGTCTTTGCTGCACTGAGCACTGTGTGTGCTTGGTATCTGGTCTTTTACATGAAATAGTTGTTCTGATAACTGTGCAGCAGAGTGCATTCTGCCGCACAAACAATATACTTCAGACCAATCAGAAAAACCTAGATAATTTCAGTCAGAAGCAAGTCAGTGATTTAGTCCATGTTCTGTATGATACCTGCTCAAAAGGCAAAGTAAGGTTGCTTCCTCTCTGAGAATATTAATACTTCCAGTCGTGACACACAACACCATCGAGGGGCATTTTAAGTCTTGGGGATTTATTCACTCAGCATCACATGGTGGTGTCTCAGACTGCACCAGACAACAGGCTAAGGACAGCGTGAAGACTGTGGTCAAAATAATATCCCTTAAAATTATAGGAACGAACCAGCAGAGGGTTAACTAGAACAGCAAGCAAATATCCCATAATTGATTATTTGTGATCTCTTTGTTTCCCAACACTTATCTCAGACAGTCCATTCTCATCTACTTCTTCAACCGTGGACAAACTAGGCGCCCCTCCTCTACCTGTAAGTTCAGCTTACATAACTTACATTTTCCTATGGTCTTCTCATTTTCCCATGGTAATGGAAATATGTTTTCAGTTAAAAGTATTCTGTGTCATGAGTAATCATCTACATTGGATACTTTAAATACACTAAAACATCTTTTACGTATTAATGTAAAAACAGTACTTCAGATGCATGCCACATGAATGTTAGCGTGTGAATGGGTCTTTGTATGCCTGTCAAGACTATTTCTTGAGGTTTTCTTTTAAATTATAGGATTCTTTTTTCTTCTATTTATATACGTACATACTTCTGTTACATTTACACTGCCATTTTTCTAGTTATGTGCTATCAGTATTTCAACACAGAGCTCTAAAAATATCTCTAAACTGTTGTGCTCCGTGTAAAGTTAAGAAATATTTCACTAGTTCAATATTCCATATTGAAAATTCAAATATAAAACCTAGACTGAAAGGAAGCATTACACATCCTTCCCTGATGTTTGTTTTTTTTTTTTTTTCTTTGTGTTAGTTCAACTTTTGCTTCTAGGTTTCTGCCTTGTGTTCTGTATTTAGTGACTGGCTGGGGGTTGAAACCAGATGATCATTGTGGTCCTTTTCATCCCAGGGTGTTCTATGATTCTATAGTCATAGTGAGGCAGTGGCAACAGCAGCAGTGGGTTGCCTCCATTGATGCTGATTTTTACAGTCATGGCATGCAGGAGTTAGTTCATGGCTGGCAAAAATGCAGGTAATGGTGGCACTGTGTTGAAAAATACCATTTTGTACCTGTGATTTTGCTCTCATGTAGCATTCTCGTGCACTTTGTTATATGGAAATGAATACCATGGAAATGAGTAGGAGGCTTTTGGAGTGACCTGTGTAGTAGACTTAACAGCAATGATATTTGAAGTCACTTAATGACTCCTCAGTTGCATTTGAACTACAGATGAGATGAAGACCGCTGCAGCAATAGCTATGTCCTCAGCTGTAGGCAGTTTAAATTTATTTGGTTACATAACAAAGACTCAATATATCTTTGCTTCATGTTTAGCAAAACAGACATCTCCAAAAATAAAGGTTTCTGCCTTGTGTTCTGTATTTAGTGACTGAATCTGAAAGACAGCTGATTAACGATATTTCCAAATCTTTATTAAGCTTTGGCTTAAACCTCGGGATCCTGCTGCTGCAGCTGCATTTTCTCTTCTTTGTTCTGCAGTTTCAACTTCTCCCGTTCTTGTTCCTATCATAAAGAAGACAGCTGAAGATAGCGTACACACTTTTGATACTCATTCCTCACACCCCTTAGTAGTTAATATTTATTACGTCCTATCATTTAGATTAGGCTCTTTGAAGTTTTGCACAGCAAGTAGTATTAATTAATCAGATTAATCCATATAGATTCTAGGGGAAAAAAGATAGGTAAGGTAATTAACTACAAAAGACAGTCTACCACTTTTAAGCTACTTTACATATGAATCTTAAGTTAGTTGCTCTTCAGCTTCGACTCTTCATTTTTGGTAACGTCTTACCATGCAGCAGGTAAGTTTTTTTTCCCCAGCTGCCTACTAGTCCTTCATTTATTATTTCCAAAACATGATGTTTAAACACTTATCTTTTTTTTTTTTTTTAAGTGACTATAATCACTGCAATAGTAGTCGTATGATGACTACTATTGTGGGAGAGCTGCAAGTTGCCCCAGCATCATATGCTACTATAATTATGTATTATTATTAACCAGTCGTTGTTCTTCAAATCTCTGTTGTATCATCAGCTCTTCTTCCTTCATTTTTCTTAACGTTTCAAGTTCTTCCAGGGCTGCCTGCTGTTCTTTTTCCAGTTCAATCCTTTCCAACGTTCTCTATTTCAGAGGTAACACAAAATCAATTTTAAAAAACAGCAAAACATAAAGAGAGATTAAACGGCATTGATTAGATTGCCATGAAATGCTTTGCCCAAGCTAGATCCACCTTTTTTTCTTCATCTAGAGTTCTCTTGTAATTGTAAATCCAGCTCGCCAGGTACTGTATGGGGTCTGCAGGCTGACGCTCCACAACCTCTGCCAGACCCTTTTTTAAGCAATCTCCCAGGCAGCTCTTGAGGTACTGAGACTCCATTCGCACCTACTGACGATAAACCAACAGCCATTCGTTACCAACTGCAGAATTCAGACCACACAGTCATTTGCTCACCTTCCTCCACCCACCCCACTGCCTTTCCCAATAGGCTGGGGAACAGAATTGGTAAAAAACAAACAAACAAACAAATGAGGAGTTTTGGGAGTATTGACTGCATCACATGCTGAATGCGATGCTAATAATTTCATCAAAGCTAATTTAATCAGGCCATTACTAGGAGAAAATCGTCTAAATGGGGTAGCGGTCCCGTCCCGTGCCGTTCCTACCAGCCCGCTCGCACGGCGCGTCCTCCCGCGTTACCGAGCAACCGCACGCCCTGCAGGCGCCCCGCGATCGGAGTAAACGGCCGGGCGGTGTCGCTGCTGCTCCGCCCGCTGCCTTCGATCGGCCGCCGCCATTTTGCGTCCGCTTCCGCCGGGTCGCGGAAGGTTGTGAGGACACCGCGCATGCGCGCGAGCGAGCGGCCCGTCTGAGGCGATGGCGGGCGGCGGCGGCGGCGTGCCGGCGGAATCCCGCGTGGGGCAAGTGGTATTGCCCGGCGACGTGCTGCTGCCGCCCGCGCACGCCGAGCAGGACCCCGAGCGGTTGCCGCTGGGAATCAGCGCGGCCCCGCGGGGACGACTGCTGTGCGGGCCGGGCCTGCGGCGCTGTGCCGGCGGGCTGCTGGTGACCAAGTGCGGGCTGCTGCGGCACCGGCAGGCGGGCGGCGGGGCGGCGGCGGGCGGCGCCTATTGGGTGGACTCGCAGCAGAAGCGGGTACGGCGCGGCGGCGGGCTGGGAGGGAGAAGGGGGGGTGCCGGAGGGGCGCGCTGACCGCTTGTACCGCTTGTACCGCTTGTACCGTTCGCAGTACGTGCCGGTGAAGGGAGACCACGTGATCGGCATCGTGACGGGCAAGGTGGGGGACGTGTTCCGGCTGGATGTGGGCGGCAGCGAGCAGGCCTCGCTGTCCTACCTGGCCTTCGAGGGCGCGACCAAGAGGAACAGGCCTAACGTGCAGGTAACGCTGCCCGGTGTGCGGCCTCTTACCTTAGCAAAAGGTGTTTGTGCCGCTCACGCGATAATAAGGATTAACGTGGCCCGTGGCAACCTTCATCGAGGTTTTACCGTGGCCCGTGGCAGACCTGATAAAGTACTGCAGTAACAGGCCTGGCTTTTGATGCTCTTAATGTCTGGAGAAAGAGAAACTGAAGTTTGGTACTTTAAAGAGGAACAGTTATTGTGTGCCATATAATTCTGTAATCTTTGGTAGTAGCCTTCCAGATTCTAGTGGAGATATGGTTACACATCTTTAGCATTCCTAAAGATGTTGTCAGTAGAAGAGGAGAACACTTCCTATTATAACAGCTCATTTCTCTATCACCATAATTCATTTCTCTATCACCAGTAATTAATCACCTAATCACAGAATGGCCAGGGTTGGAAGGGACCTCAAGGATCATGAAGCTCCAGCCCCCCTACCACATGTGGGGCCACCAACCTCCCCATTTAATACCAGAACAGGCTGCCCAGGACCCCGTGCAACCTGGCCTTGAACGCCGCCAGGGACGAGGCATCTTCTCAACTTCTCTGGGCAGCCTGTTCCAGTACCTCACCACTCTCATAGTAAAGAATTTCCCTGAAGATCATCTAGTTCCAATGTCCTGTTATGGGGAGGGTTGCCACCCACTATGCAGATCATACTGATCTTACTGCCCAGGGCCCCATCTAGCTTGATCGTGATTGCTTCCAAGTATGGGGCAGCTACAGCTCTGGGCAGCCTGTGCCAGTGCCTCACTGCCCTCTGAGTAAAGAATCTTTTCCTAACACGTAACCTTTACCTCTCCTCTTTTAGTTCAAAGCCATTCCCCCTTGTCCTATCACTCCTAGGCTATATAAAAAGTCACGCCCTTCAAGTATTGGAAGGCTTCAGTGAGGTCTACCAGGAGCTTTCTCTTGTCCAAGCTAAACAAGTCTAACTCCCTCAACCTTTCTTCACGTGAGACGTGTTTCGGCCCTCCTCTGACTCACTCCAACAGCTCTGCATTCTTGTGACAGGGCCACAGGTTTGGACACCGTACCCGAGATGGGGCCTCATGACGGCAGAGTAAAGGGGAACAGTTATCTTGCTCACCCTACTGGATACCTCTGTTTGGATCCAGCCTAGGATGCTCCTGGCCTTCTGAGCTGCAAATGTACACTGCTGGTTCTTGTCCAGATTTTCATCCAATTGACAACTATTTTGCTGTCTTGGTGCATGTTTATCAATGGGATGTTTCTTACAAATGTGCAGTATGATCTTCACTACTGCTTTTTTGTTTTCTGGCACTGCTTGCTTTAGGTGGGAGATCTTATTTACGGTCAGTTCCTTGTAGCAAATAAAGACATGGAACCAGAGATGGTCTGTATAGACAGCAGTGGAAGAGCAAGTGGAATGGGAGTAATTGGGCAAGATGGCTTCCTCTTTAAAGTTTCCCTAGGTCTGATAAGAAAGTAAGTACTAAGAAATCCAGCTGTGCTAACCTGTAAGTGTTGTGGTTTAACCCAGCAGGTGGCTAAACACCACATAGTCATTTGCTCATCTTCCTCCGCACACTCCCCCTGCCTTTCCCAATAGGCTGGAGAAAAACAATTCTGTGCAGCTGAAACTAAGAGAGGAACATTGCATTTTTAGATAGGATATGCATAACTATCTCTAATCCAAGTAGTGTGAACTAGCCAGTAATCAAGCTATGTGGTTGTTCTAGTGCATTGATGCCAGTTTTACTGAGTAGAGGGTGCATGTACATTGAGCAGTGCGTGATTATCACAAAATATGAGTTAATAGTGATAAATGATGGTAAAACTTCTTGTTGGTTTGATGCTGAGGGGAGGAAAAGTAGGCATCTGTTCTTTGAAAAGTAGCTATTTCATACCTGGGTTTTGTAAATTATTTGGTTTACGTGTCCTGTCATCAGTGTGAACAGGTAAGTTATTTTTCAGCCTTGTTCTCGGTAACTCTTCTGACTAATTAGAAAAACAATTATCAATACACAAGTGCTCTCCTCAGGTGCATGTATTTTGAGAGAAAAACTTAAATTCTGATATGGTATGACTGTTTTGGATGGACATGCAATTTGAATCATCTTACCTTTTGGAGTTGCTCTTGTGATGCCAGTGCTGCAGCTTAGTTGCTGACTGATAATGATGTAATAGTTACCAAACACAAGCATTCACTTTTTCCTCTAACTCTTACTGATCTTATTTTACAGACTCTTGGCTCCCAAATGTGAAATAATTCAGGAACTGTCACAGCTGTACCCATTTGAGCTGGTGCTGGGAATGAATGGAAGAATATGGGTAAAAGCAAAAACAGTTCAACAGACTTTAATTATAGTAAATATTTTAGAAGCTTGTGAATATATGACTGCGGAGCAGAGAAAACAAGCGCTTGCCAAACTGCCAGGGAATTGAGTAAAAGAAAATCTGAGCATTTGTGAGAACTGTAGAACTCTGTGTTTATTTTTGTATTCACATTTATATTAAAAGTCGCACTAAATGAAGTTCCAGATGTTTTTGGTGGTTCTTCAATTCCCTTGATGCACTCAGCTGGTTCTACCTTATTTAGGATCACTTGTGATTATGAGACACTGTCCACTGTTGTGGATTTTGACTGGTGTGGAGATGGGCTTGAAAAGCTTCAATTAACTGTGGGTTTTGACATGCAGTTTTCAGTTTTTCCAGAAGAAAACCAGTCAGTTTATAAGCTGGGTATATTTGGTTTTGCTAGTTAATTTTAGAGCTTCAAAGAGTACGTGTTAACTTGGGGGAGCTGAGAGCATCCTGTGAATCATCTGTTCTGGTCAGGTGTTCTGTATAAGTAGTGATGGATTGATCTACTGCTATCTTAGAGAATTTGAGAATAGAGACACAGGTGGAGAAATACAAGAAAGGAATTGTAGGGTGTACCTGAGAGTAATTACAGTGTGCTTCAGGCAAGTGATCAGGTACTGCTGAATGCATCGTCCCAGTGGCATTAGAACTTTCCCCGAAAGATAACCTGGCTAATAGTCTTGATGAAACAGAGTTCAGAATATCACTTCAGTATGTACATTTGGGAAACGTAATGGCTAAATGGAGGTGCTATGAGGGCTGCTCTGAAAGTAATGGCTCCTGTTCTATTATTTTGGCCCACCATGTCAGAGGTTGATGTTGGTATGGCAGTACAAGTTGAATCTTCACTCCAATATTCTGCTACACGTTGTTGCCACATAACAGATGGCAGTATAGGGGCAGCATCTGACATGGAACTGCTTGTGAAGCAAAGATGTGGAATTGAACTCCTTCATGAAAAGAATTTGCACTCATTGCCATTCGTTGATGCTTGCTGAATGTTTATGGGGACCAAAGAGTGGATGTGAGTATGTAGCCCAGAAGGCCAACTATATTCTGAGCTGCATTAAAAAAGGAGTGGCCAGCAGGAAGAGGGAGCTGATTGTACCCCTCTCCTCGGCTCTGGGACCCCCATTACAGGCAGGACGTGGAGCTCTTGGAGCAGGTCCAGATCATCCACTAAGATGATCAGAGGTCTGGAGCACCTCTCCTCTGAGGAAAGGTTGAGGGAACTGGGATTGTTCAGGTTGGAGAAGAGAAGGCTCTGGGGAGACCTCACTGTAGTATTCCAGTACTTGAAGGGAGTGTGTAAACAGGAGGGGAACGACTGTTAAAGAGGGTGGATAGTGATAGGACAAGGGGGAATGATTTTAAATGGTTAAATGTTAAATGGTTTTTCCGGCATTAGGGGGATACAGTGTCATTCTGTTGTATGAATAGTTTGTTTCTGATGTTTTAAGGAAGTTCCCTGGAGTGGTGGTGTAGTTCTTTGACAGCTGCTTTCTTTGGGAGCAGTACTTACATGTATTCATCTAAAAGTCTACAACAATGAAGTTTGCTGTTTTAAGCAATTACCTGGATATGTCTTGTGGTTCTTAAGCTGAATGACTTGATAAGCAGTATTTAATAAATTAGAAAAATGTTATAATTTGAGTAAGCCTGCAAACGTCTCTTAATTCCAAATAGAAATGAAATCTTTCCTACTTACTCAGTCTTTTATCCAAAGTTCAGTCCACAGTATTTAATTAAATGTTTCCTACTCATCTTTCTCATTTAGAAGTTGCTTCTATTCATAGCCACATCTGACTCATCTTTAATATGCTTACTTAGGGCTTCCCCTGATTCAATAAAAACCAAACTTTAATGGTTTCCTTCTGAATTGTAGCCATTAGATTCATAATTCCTTTGTTTCACTGCCCTTTCTCCTTAGCATTTAGGGTACTGTTCATCTGCTTGGTGGATCTTTCTTAAAAAGGCTTTTAGCTTTTCCTGTCTCTTGTGCTCCCAGTTGAAGTGACTTGCACCCACATGCTATAA